TGGAGTTGCGAGTTGCTTTAAGAAATACGCACCGGATGTGCTCGTAAATAAGATTTCGGGCGCATCTTTCGGTGCTGTGGCAGCGTGTGCGCTACTTTGCGATGCTCCGTTGGGTAAGTGTCCCTCATAAGTTGTTTTTTGTTTTGAAGTTTCATCTTGATAATTGAACATTGTGCCTCGTCCATGTAGAGAACGGACGGTTTTCGAACGTTAGTTTCCCTATGATATTCAGCTAGTCGAGAGACAAAGAACTGGAAGGGTTGGGTTCATCTGATGGGTTTATGGAAACTCGGAGTGTATGTGAGGCGAATGCACTTCTGTTTCCGATGTAAACCTGAAAGATTCATTTCAAAGCTTCGTATCTGAGCAGTGATACATCGACCATTGCTCTGTGAACTGGTTACACGACGTGACGAGTTCCTTAGAGAAGTGTCCTACCGACAAGATCAGACATAGAAATGTTGTATGCTCAACGGTTTGGTTCTACAGTATATTTGAGAATGATTTCCACCACCAAGTGCATATCGAACGTATGTACCCTGAGTGAGACAGGTTTAGGTACAGCTACTCGTACCCTAAGTTTTCGGGGTAAAACTTTCTAGGATGAAACTCAATGGTATTGGTATGGAGGACTACAATATTTAATTCGGGTGGATCCGTTGATGAAACTTCGTCTTTTGGTTTCCTTGATCCCACCAGTGCCCATGGTTGAAATGTTGATTAAGATAGGCTGATTAAAATACAGTAGGTTTGGTCACTTTTTTGACCTTCGTACATGCTGGATTATACTGTACTGTAGTTGGATTTGGATAGTTCGCTTCATTGGTTCATTTTGGAACTCGGCTCGGTGACCTGGGTTTGATTTTTGTGTTTCGTTGAAAATTCCTTTGAAAATGACTGGTTCCTCGTTGAAAATTAGGAATCAGAGATAGCTTGAACAAAGGAATTATCCTGCTCTTGTAATATCTGTGTCAACACGTATCTTGAAAATGAAATGTGATGCATGCAGGATGACAAAACTACTGTTTTATTGCAATTATCGTTTACATTCCCACACACCTCGATTTCATGATGAACACTTGCAATTCATCCTTCATTCAATCCGACCGGTTTCGGATGGAAAAACTGTCGAGAGATAAAGATTCAGGTGAAGCACCTGTGTTATGACGATTCAGCCCGGAAAAGTTTNAACTGTCGAGAGATAAAGATTCAGGTGAAGCACCTGTGTTATGACGATTCAGCCCGGAAAAGTTTTCTTAAGAGGGCAACGTTCGTGACGTACCGATAGCTCAGGAAGTGAAGTTGACCTTGAGTATCTCGAATACGACGATAAAACATCTGCGACGAGCCTGATCTATTTCTCCTCCCAAAATTATTGATCAAGGTGGTATTCCCCAAAAAAACCCGAACGCGTTGTTCTCAGTGACGTAGCTTTTTGAAACGCTCGGGGAAACACGGCGGGTCACGTTTTTCTGGCGTAGTAACCCTTGTCCTTTCTCAGAATGACGTCTGATCAAATTGCGTTTTTCGTTTTCGACCGGAACTAATAGTGAAGTGACGAATCATGATTTTGAAGGCTGACGAGTTAACCGTCAACCCTTCTAATGTACTGTACCAGGATACCTCGGAAATGATCCGACCCGGAAGACGCGTCTTGCTTATTAAGAAAAAAAAACAATTAACTGCTCTTGCTTGTTTAATTCTGCCACCGCGTCTTTGTTATGCTGGAGTTCGCATTTATCAACCTCCAGCTGAGGTTCAAGGGTTACTTTTTATTGAATCTAATATTACTTCAGTATCAGTTGGATGTTGATGACAGGCGTATGTATGATCGGATAGTCATGTCTCAAGATGGTTAAATGTGCATCTTAGATGGGTTTAAGTTTGTTGTTGGGATTGGTTAGTTAGACGTTAGGTACTGGGTTAGTGTAGAGAATAATTGGGATGGTTTGTGCGATTGATTGTTATTACATTTATGCAGCTGTTGGACATCAAAAAATAGTTTAACCTCAATAACTCGAACCTCTCTGTGTCAAATTTCTTGAAGTTCCTGTTTGAGTCCCTTAGAAACAATGCATTAAAAATCTCCGTAATTCAACAACTTCACCCCTCAAATTTGCTGGAGGCTTTTTGTTTATTATTTTTTCAACACTGGAAGGAAAGAAGCAATAACAAGGTAACTTGATGTGTTTTGAAAGGAAGTGAAAGACTACATGGGCACATGAACCCTTGCCTCCAAGATCAGCATCCTGACAACTGATTTATAAAGCAATTCAATAAGGCCCAGAATGTCACCGATCACAATTTTTTGTAAATCTTCTTTCTTTCTCCAAATGAGAATGCGGATTTCCCCAACTTGAATTTTTCTGCTGATTGCCCGAAGTTGAACTTCAATGGGGGCTTGACTATAATACATCAGGTTTTTCCTGCCTTGCACGAAAATAGATACCGAATCAGCTTCCAGTAATCTATAATAAATAATTCCGTCAATTTTTAAACTTTTTAATTCAATTCAACAAGGATGCATTGAAGTTTGACATTATTCTGTGCAAAATATTTTTTTGAAGTATGACCCGGGGTAATATGAAACAGGAACTTGCTGAGTCCCTGAACCGCATCGTAGGATGTGCACAGCAAGTACAATTGCAGAGTTGCAGGGGGAGTGCGGGTAATTGTTGTTTACTTCAGAGTTTTGGCCTTGTTTTTTGCTTATTTTGCCTGCGGATGTTTCATAATTCCGGTGATTTGCCCACCAAGCTCGCTTTGTGCGTGCTTCGGCAGAAACATTGCGTGAGGTTGCAACAAAAACCTGGGCCTTTCTGGTGATTCGTCAAGCACGTTTTCGAGGGGGCAAAATATACCTTGCGCACGAAAAATACCACTTGGTTGGGGGATTTTTCTCGGATTTCGAGGTTCTTTGCTCAGGTTTTACTGGGGAAAACAAGCGCGTCTCAAGGGAACATGAACACAAAAACAAGAGCTTCAGTAAATGCGTCTTCTGGCCTTTCCGAGAAAAATTCGTCATGGTAAGATTACCAGCGATACTAACTAGACACTGCATAACTTGAAAACCTATTTCAAGGTTCTTATCCCTATGAGGAAATGTCAGCGAAAATAGGCCATGTTTATGGAAGCAATGATAGCTGTCCGTCTGAGTACAGCCATTTTCGTTCCTGCCCGTTGGAAACTAGGGTCACTTATGTGCGAAATTTGGAATTGAGACGACCCAAGGAATTGAGTCTGGCGAATTTTTTGAAGATCCTCCCTAGAAAATTGAGATGAATGCAATCGATGAACGAAGACCGGTACGCGATATTTTTCAAGTTTTCTATTGGGATTGCGTATTTGAACAATGAAGCCTCGGCCAAGTCCGAACAGTTTGTACGAACTTCATAGTACTGAATGTAATTCATGGTCACCAGTGGCTCGTGAATGATTTAAAAAAAAAATCTTGTGAGGCGCCGATCAGCAAATTTTTTTTAGCGAGATTTGCATTTTAAGAATATTTTGTAGCATTCGATTGCGAATAATTTGCTTCTATCCCGGTATTAGAAATTGTGCGAAGCTACCTTCAAAACATACCGCTCTCAATCTAATTGTAATCCGGCAGTTTGCTCGCTATGTACTGTATATCCAATGAGAAGTTCTACCTTGAATTTATGAAAATGGCTTGCCGATTTTTTGAGGAAAAACTGGATTTTTCGTAATTCGCGAGACCTGTCTTGTTTCAAGTGAACCAGAGTTACGTCAACCTTACGTAAATTAAAAAAAGGCTGTTTTGATGCATGCCATTTTGAACCTTTATTCCTTGTAACCGAGCTCTTCTGTACATTTGTTCGTTCAATATTTGCTCTTCTCATGCACACCCACTTCGATCTTTTCTATTAATTTCAGTACAGAAAAGCTTTGTTGTTGTAAAATCTTGTTGCAACGAATCTCGTGACAAATTAATGCTTACAAGGTATATGATTTTTGGTCTTTCTCTCTTAGCCGCAATGTCAATTCAATTTCGTTTAACGGATGTTTGCTCATTTTGAAGATGTAACGAGATTCCAATTTATTCGGATTTAGGTGATTTATGTTCCCTGAGGCATAGTTGATGCTTCTGTTTGATTCATAATTGGGATATTTTTGTTCACCTAGTTGGCGTTCATGGAAGAAAAACTTGGTACTGTACATCCTTCATGATATTGCTGGAATTGAAGTGGGGTTGAAAATCAAAACAGTAGACTGGGATGTTTACAAACAGATGGATGTTGGTTATGTTTTGATGCGGAGTACAATACTGAACTTGTGAATTATTTATGGGCCATTCCGCGTTTGCGAACGAGTCACGGGGTCGTTCCTGCGACGGAATTTCAAAATCTTGAACTCCTGTTCAAGTGAGGTCGAAGTTCAAGGTTTTTTCCGGCACAAAAACTCTGCGTTGCGATTATCGCTCATGCGTCTTATCTGGACCATTGGTGCGTTCCACGTAATCGATATGCAGCGATTAAATCCTGTCGATGGAATCATCGGGGTTCGCTCATGCAAAAAATGGACCCGACGTTGCGTCCTGATTTAATTATTAATTTATTCAATTAATGGAAACTGGTTCACTGACTGAAACGGGTTTCCTTTTTTTTATTTCANGATTAAATCCTGTCGATGGAATCATCGGGGTTCGCTCATGCAAAAAATGGACCCGACGTTGCGTCCTGATTTAATTATTAATTTATTCAATTAATGGAAACTGGTTCACTGACTGAAACGGGTTTCCTTTTTTTTATTTCAGGGAAATTGACCAGTGATGTTCTCCGTGTTGCTGCGCAAGCCCGCAAGAAGACCCTTGGTCCATTCAGTCCCACGTTCAACATAACAAAAATACTGCGCAGTGGACTCGAGGAGGTGAGAAAGGATGGATTAAATTTACGACTTACTAGGGTGTGGGTTTCTTCGGTGTTGGAGAAGCAACAACAAAAAAATCTTTCATGCGCACGTTCGCCTAAGCAAACGTTTTGGAGTTTCCCACAAGTTTCTCAATTTCTTCGTTCAGAGACGTAGACATTTTTCTCGTCTTTGTACGATACATTTATGTGGACTCCCTCTACAACGGTTTTGTTTACAACGATTTTCTCTGTTCTACGAATTTTTGTGTGGCCCCATGGGATTAGGCATTCTCCCCATGTTACAGGGGTTCTCTATTCAGCAATTTTTTTTCTGGTCCCTTGAGTTTCTTTGTAGAGGGTACATGATTTGAAATTGTGTAAGGGAACTCACTGAACCCTGGACTGTTCCCAAATTTTCGTGATTGGAAAGTAACTTTTTAGTGCTTATTGTTGAAGACTCGGGCGACTAAGATGCAGTTTTTCTGAGCCCCAAAAACAATTCGTATAACATGATCATGAGAAGTTGAGAAAGCTTGCTTGAAACGATTCTTTTGTGTTAAAACTAACTTTACATTGTTTTATTCATGACAATTAAATTATTTGATAAAATTCGGGAATTTCCTGGTTAGGTCATTATTACCTGGGTATAATTTGCTCAGTAATCATTGAGTAGTCGATTACGTTGGCGTGGGCTTACGCAATAGAAAATTGTCGTACTGTAACTCTGTAAATAATTGACAATTTTCATACAGACTTTTCAAATTTAGTCAGTTTGGTGTTCAATTGCGCTTTAAAAATATTTTCACAATTCGTATGGTTATCATCGAAAAGTGGAGCACTTACTTGCATCACCTAGAATTTAAGTACTTTTTCGTAATTTCCTTCTGGTTTCGTCATCGGCGAGACATTCAAGGTAACCGAGTAACATATCGTCATTTCGTAAAAATTGGTTTATTCTTCGGTTTATGAAATGACTGACTGACCGACGTTTGTGAAATCCATGGTAAAACGTTACGACGTCGAAAAAATAACGCAAATCTGGTTTGGTTGAAAAAAAAGGAAGGCTTCAAATGTATGTACTGAAGTCAAAAAATAATTGTAAAAATCACCATTTCAACTTGTGGACTACAGTATATTTTTATGTCCACTACTTCAGTTTTATGAAATCGATAACAAGGGTGCTGGTTCGTTCATATAACGGATTTACAGCTTCGATGATGGGCATTTTTATAATAAGGATTGTTGACGTCGGGTAACTTTCGGTGCACGCCGTGCTTCGTTCTTTTGTGTCGCAATAAGGCGATGCCATGAGGTTATAGTTTCGAAAATGCGGCGTAGTGCGTTCGTTGGTTCGTTCGTTTGGGTCGCGACTGGGAAATGCGTCGTCACCGCCCGGAGTGCTCCGTAGGGCTTATGAACTGATACCCGAGCGTGTCTTGTCTCGTTGGGGGCTCGCCTCCGACGTAGATTCGTTCGTTCGTCTGTTTGTTTTTTTCTTTCTTTCTTCCGTAGCTGTAACGGACGAGTAATCCTTCTCGGCCTTGGTGGATTATACAGCAGGAAATGTTTTGAAAGACGTTGTATAAAATCTATATTTTTACTGTTACATACAATTTAGTGTAGCACGATAAGTGGCTTGACGAATCAGGACGCTTCTTGGACTCGCGGATCTGCGATGTCTTGCAATACGGACAATTTTCCATTCCTAGAGAAATGGACTTTTTTTTTCTAAATTATATCTCCAATAAAGTGAGCTATGTACATTGACAAAAATTAAAAATAATATGATGAACTTACTCTTGATAATTGAGGTATCATAATTTAGAAAATTAAAGATCATGATAAACTTACTCTAATACAGTAATTGAGGTATCATAATTTAGAAAAAATTGAAAAATATTATGATAAACTTACGCTAATTCATAACGAGAAGCAGGCTTCTTTTTTCAGTTTATTTCCATCCTCTGGGCAGGGTCTAGCTAAACTTTTTGTTCTTTGCTTCTTGGACTCATTTTGATGGCGAAGGATCAGATTCTGTGTGGTTTCCTTCTGCAGTTATTTTCTGCATCTTGCAGTTAAGAAAAAATTTTTATTGGATTTTTGGGGGACGTATTCCTATCTTTTGATGAACAGGAGAACCAATTAAATATTTATCATTGAAATCAATGGGAAAATGTGGTCTGACCTACGGATGCTCCGACATAGGGACAAGGTCTAATAAGCCCCAATCACGTCCACATTTCGGGGCCCCACTGTACAGTATACACTAATACAGTATTGGAAGTGTTTGATAAATCAGGCTAATTACCGAAACTTCAGTAAAATCAACAGGCTCCTCTGATTCAGGAGAAATTGAGTGTAATGCAAATGCGCCTCACATTCGTGCAAGCGTTATTTTCTCAATTTTCGAGACTCAAAAATTATTGAGTGCTGTGCCGTAGTGTGCTTTTCATATTTTCCGGAATGCGGTATCATGATTCGCGTTTAATTATTGCGTCCCCGGTTTATTATTGATTGAAATCCTTTGTTTCTTTTTTTAGGTTCTCGCGGAGAATGCCCACGAGATCGTCAGTGGCAGGTTGCATGTGTCCATGACAAGGATTTGCGATGGCCAGAACGTGATTGTCTCTCATTTTGAGACCCGGGAGGATTTAATCCAGGTATTGTATGATTTTTTGTGTTAGAATAAATTGCCTAAAAATGTCAATTATCTGTGTGTTTATGATCGAGTGCCTTTTCTCGGATAAAATGTTGTATTAATAACTTCCGCGAGGATGAGTTCTTTCGAATGACTGCAGTGATCTTCCCGACATTCGCTCAAATTTGGAGGAGTATCGCGTTAATAATTCCTAAATCTTGTAAAAAGGACGATTAATTTTTACGTAATCATCTTTTCGTCGAATCGATATTCGTAAGTGTCCAGATGCTCAGCATGTGGACCTGAATTTTAAATGAATCCTCGTGAAAAATCCAACTTGATCTGGTGCTCGTAACACAATTTTACGCAGTTCAACGATTTGCTGATCATAGTCGATATGGACTAATGGTTTATCACTTTATTGAATCGTGGGTAATCATATCCTTGATAATCGAAACTGTACTCACGCTACTGTTTTGACACAACATTTAAATGCTCACCGTTTTTCGGACGCTGAGGTATGACCGTTTCTAATTCGATATCTTTTGAAATCCTTTGCTAGCAGCAGACCCTTTCGTTTATCTTCTGGTTATCCAACTATTACAATGCCGTGGTAGGTACTTGAAAAATGAATACATGCAAATTTTTGTAAAATCACACAATAATAAATTGAAATATAAAGAAAATCACGGGGAAAAAATTCAAGGAACTGTCGGGAAATTATTCAGTTTGCTTCTCTCTATATACTGTACCACCAATGGAGATCTAATAGCTTTAAGTTTAAAAGTGTATAAATCAAGTCTGGGCAGTTCTGATTAAATTTACAGGTGCTCTACTGAAAGGAATACAGTATTATATTTTATTTTATTTTGCAACTTGGCGCCTATACTGGTTGGAGTTCAGAATCCAACAAAACGTCCCCGCTTATGAATCCTGGGGCCTGAAAATCCCACCCAGGAAAATTTCCAAGAAATTCGCCTTGCGGTCCGCCGTGATTCTTCTTTTGGAAACAATAGAGTTTCGTTGCGTTTACCTCCGTTTGAATACCTGTACTCGAATGTAACTCTTGAAGTTAAACTGCTATTCAATAGCCAGAGAAGAAAACTCCTCTGCGGTGATAATATTTTGGAACGTGTTTTTTTTTAATTGTTCGGCCGATTTTATTTTTGTGTTGAGGCAGCTCCTCTACAACTGAAGCACCGACAAACCATTGATCATTTTGAGTTTTTTTGAAAAAGGACCCGAATTTTTGAGGTTTTGTTCGTCGATTTCATCATTTTCCTATTCCTTTGTTATATTCTTGTGCAACCCGTATTTGATGATTGCAGATGGATGTAATTTTCAGAGTGATACTCGAACATTCCCGAGCTATCGTTCAGTTTTTGCTCCGTCAGGTGGAAATTTAGCGAAGACAGAGCGGAAATATTAGTCGTGGCTGTGTAGAAATAAGATATACTGCACCTGGAAAGTATTTGTAGCATTAATTTGCAGGTATAAAAAAATCGCTACCAAATACAGTTTTAAGAATAGATTTTTAAAATCTTCAAGGCGATGGCTCCAAACTTTTTTCACCTCTGTCGAAGGAAACATTCTGTGTTCTGTGAATGACTTTTTTAAACGTAAACTCGCATCAAGTCTTTTTGTTTGATCTGGCAATTTCGAGGATTTTCTGGTTTATGAAAGTGTCCCATTTCTGTGTACAGTACAGTACAATATTTGGAAAAACTTGAACAATGCCCAATGTTAAGATTTTCTTAGTCCATGATCAGTTTTCTTCCGTGGATTAAACGTTCTGCGCGTTGTTGAGTTTTGTTATCTCGTGAGAGGATTTCCTTTCGATTTTTGATTTGAGTTTGTGTTCGGCCATCTTGTTTGAAGGCGTTATTGAGCAGCTCGTTCATCCCGCTGTTTTCGGGATATCTGCCGCCGAGTTACCGCGGTGTCCGAAGCTTTGACGGTGGGTTCTCTGATAACCTGCCCATCCTGGACGAGAACACGATTACAGTGTCGCCATTTTGTGGCGAATCCGACATCTGCCCGCGTGACGGGAACACTGCGCCCATGTTGCAGGTCTCGGTGACGCTCTGTTCCGCATGCTGCACGACGAATTCACTTTTTTGTTGTGGTTCCTACTGTTTTCACTGCTGTCCAGGGCCTTTTCGATGTTGTTTTGATGTTCTCAGGTGTCGGTTTGTTCAGCTTCACACAGAGATGTTATATGATGATGGGCTTCATGAGAAAATCTCGCCGGCCTGAAAATCTCGCGCGGGGTACGAAAATTCCGCAACTTTAATTTATGCATCAGAAACGGTTTCTTTTGATAACTGAAGTAGACGATGGTTCTTTGACAAATTTTGAATTACAGTTGAATCTTGATAACTTGAACCTCTCTAAGTAAAATTTTTTCAAGTCCCCGTCGGAATTCCCTTGGAAACCATGTTCAGTACTGTATTAAAAACTTGGAGGCTTTTCCTCTCAAACCTGCATAACTCGAATTTTCTGAGGCCTTTTGGCTATTATTTTCTTGACGCAGAGAAGAAAAAAGGAGTATGAAAAGTAACTTGATGTGTTCTGAAAGGTAGCAATAGATTGATTGGGCAAATAAACCCTTGCTCCAAGCTTAGCTTCTCCTCAACTCATTGAAAAGCAATTCAAGGCCCAGAATATCAAATTTGAATTTTCTGCAATTTTTCTATATTTTCTACGATAAAATAGATTGTTTCCCTAACACAAAACCTCCATAACTCGATTTTTTGCTGGTTCCTTGAAATTTCACTGAGAGGTCCGGCTGTATTAAACAAGCATGAATTCAGTTCTGAAGTCAAAATGCATTCACCAAGGGTTATGTGAATCCTCGAAATCATTGTGAAGTTAAATTTTTTTCATCAAAATTTGTTCAACAAAATCTCGCTGTCCCGCGACATTTTCGGGCCTACGTGATTTTCTTCTGCACCCACATGATGTAATGTATTTCCACAAGGAAATTTGTTTCGGTGGATAAGGTGTATGCTGATGATGGGTCTGTTTGTTCTTCTCTTTTTTTCTTCTCTCGATTGCATGTTGGGTGGAAGGCATTGCTTTGTTCGTGCTTCATTCCTGTATTTTCGGGATGGATGCCGTTGAAGTTTCGGGGGGTGATGTACATGGATGGAGGTGCGACGGACAATTGTCCTCGACTGGACGAGAATACCGTCATGATTTGTCCGTTTGAAGGCAACTTTGACATCTGTCCTCGGGACGAGGCCTTGAAGGTGTTCGCGGTAAAGCACCGTCTTTTCACTCTCTCTTTTCTCGTTTTTTTTCCCTCACTGGTAGCTCGCGTTTGTTTTCTGCATGTTTGGTTTTTTGTTTCTTCAGGTTGATTCTTGCATGTGGGAAATTATTTCACGTTTTTTAATTTAATTTTAATTTTGAGAAAATGATTTATGATTTATTGTTCATCGCAGGTGAACTTGGCGAATACGAGCATTGAAGTTTCGAAGCAAAATCTTTACCGTTTCGCAAGGATTTTGTTCCCGCCTGAACCGGAGGTTTTGTCAAAAATGTGTCAGCAGGTGCGTTGAAACTGATCATCCCCATGAAGCTTGTATTGTTTAATTCGCGTTATCCCGGATTTATTTTTTCTGTGTACCGTACTTTATTTCAAAAAATGTTGAGGCTTATCTGGGTATCGATATTTTTATCTTCGTGTTGAAACTTTTAGATACCAGGAAGTATGAATTGGATTTATTCGGAATCGTGTAAAATTACGGATACTTTGATCGGGATTTCTGTACAGTGTATCTCAAAGCCAGAGTTTCCTCGGTTTTTGGTGTAGTGGATGTAAATAGAATCTTCTCAATTTTACGTAAGAAATACTAGCTGTATTAACCAGAAGGACTCCCATCATATTACAGGACAGTATAGTTTAGGAATATACTTTTGTACTGTATTTACTCGAGTACCACACGCCCTTCAGTAAGACGAGCACCAGTATTTTTCAGTCGAAACTTTTTTATAAAATTGTATCCCGATTAAAACTCGCTCCCCATTTTTAGGGACTAAAACTACACTATTTCAAAGACAAGAAAATTCGGACTTAGGCATTAATCGAACCAAAATCCGGCTAATTTCAATTGTTTCCTTTAAAATAAGTTTCTTTGTTGAATTTGGTCAAAAATTTCCCATTAGAATCTAGTATGATGCAATGCACACTTCTAAACACTACGACGCGCAACCCTCTGTTTTCGTATTGACTTTGCGGAGAAGAGGTACACGAAGTACTCAATTAAATGCCGTACATTGTTCGTTACTTGTTTCGGTGCATAGAAATTAATGAACTGAGTTCATGTTTTCTTTATTTTAACGAATTAGTCTATCACAAGCATTGTATCTTATTCATCCATGTATGGGGTTATTTTGGGGTTGTTGCTTTCAATCGGAGTGCTGAGCCACGAATCATGTGAAATTGCGGTATTGTGTGATATTTTCACTGATACTGTGTTCATTTTTGGTAGAATATCTTATGTTCCCATTTTCAAATGCTTATTTTGGTGTTCATCGTGACGTTTTACTTGACAGGGATTTGACGATGCGTTGCAATTCCTGCAAAGAAATCGCTTGATCTCTTGCACGCGTTGTTTGAGCGTGCAATCCACGTTCACATTGCAAGAAACAGTTGAAGAACATGATGAGTATGACCCTGATTGCGGGGAATGTCGATCACAACGCCAGGTAAGATACTTTCTTGTGCAGTATTTTTATCATTCAGTATCTTCTTCTTTTAACCGTGTGTCAAGAACTAAAAGGGAGCCTTTCTTGAAAATTCAGGCTGCCCTTCTGGATAGCTTACCGGACGTAGTGACAAATACACTTCAAGAATACATCGACGCTGCGAACAAGGGCTTGATGAACTGGATTTTCAGACATCGGGGCGCCAAGCTCATATCGATTCTCTCTTTGCCGTACCTTTTGCCGTTGGACATCGCTCATGCTACTTTTTTGCGTTTTCTTGACCTTGCGCCGACTGTGGGCAGTAACATTGCCATTCTTGCCGGCGCCATTGCCAAATACCTCGTCGTTCTCGTTCAGAAGTTTGACATGAAGCGTCGCCAGTTCAACGCTCAATTTGTTTGTCAGCTTGCGATTACGGAATACGCTCAACTTGAAGGTACTTCTCCTACCACTCGTATGTTGAATCTGTTGGGATAATTTTTTTTTCAAATTTGGCGTGGTTGATTTTCGGAGATCGTGAACGATTCGCTCGACTGATCAGCGTGAATTTCTTCAATATTAGCTGGATGCCCGGAGAAAGACAAGGCAGCCAGCGTGAGGAATAACTATCAATTTGGATTCAGCTTTGATTTGAACCGGGCCGATGGAGCGCAGCAGACGGAGTTGCCAAATGAGCAGGACATTGTGATTGAGATGAACGAAAAGGCGTTGCGAGATGGCGTGGCGCACGTGGATTCGAATAGTCCTTCGATTGAGGCGCCGCCGCCTTCGCCGATTGAATATACTGGTGCTGCTGCCGAAGTAGAGCGTGAAGAAGCGATTCAGAAGATACTCGGCATGGCTTCGCATCAAGAAGCCGTGATGGCTTTCTACTACCGCGATGCTGAAGACAAGGTTTGTTTTCTGTCTGTTTATTTGGCTAGTTTATTTTTCAGTGTTCTTTCTTCCTGTGGTTCGTGGAAATTTTGATGCAAGTCTGCCAACAAATCTGTAGTCTCCACAAGTCTCCCGAACAATTGAGCTGTCCATTGGAAATTTATTCGGATAATGTCTCCTACTGTTGTCAGTCCACATTCAGCAGACTACTGTCTCAAAAATTAGTTTGTCCGCGAGTGTGAAAAATTTGAAGTGGACTTCAACAGAAAATTGGGGTTAATTTGAGAATTGAATGTCAGAGTATGTAGATCAGACAAAGGGTTGCGGTCGCGAATTTTCCTGCATCCATGGATCTTCTCGAAGCTGATGATTCCAATTTTGTAGTACAGTACTGTATCTTGAAAGATACAACAGTGTAGAGAGAATCAGTGATAAACAACTGGACGTGAAGTATGTGAATTGTGGTTCTTAAAATGTTCAATGCTATTAAAGCAGGAGACCTGCATCAGTTATTTACGGGGAGACCTCGAAAGTTTCGTCTCATTCCATCCCTACGTGTGTGTGATTCTAGCATTCTTGGGGAGATGATGGAAATTTGCTTGGTTTCATGATTCAATCATATTTTCGTGAATGTTTTGATCAAAAGAATTTTTCCGACTCACTGAAGTGCTCCAGAACGCGGTAACGAAAGAAAAACCTGCCTTCTTCGAATAATTCCTTGTTTTGAAGCGTGTTCGAATATTGTTTCATTTTCGATTTTATTCTCAGGTTCGGGTGACTGAAATTTTCGATGTCACGGAAACGGAGAGCGAGGGTGAAGCATGGAATAACTTCATGCACGATCCTGCACATTTATGGGAGAACAGAGAGTCGAATTTCACTGGTGAGTGGTCATTCTTGCTTTTGATTCAATTTACGAGACAAAGGTCGTGCTCTTGTTCGTAATTTTCAAAAAACTTCACAGTAGAACGCCATTATATTCGGAAAATTGACACATGTGGTTGAAAAATCCGATTATGATATATGGTATCAATATGGGGTTTCTTTTTTCCAGCGTCTGCCAGTGAGAGACCGACTTCAACGATCGACGCATCAGTCGGGCGATATGACCATGCTTTTGCTCGCCATGATTCCGAGTACTTTGTTGAAGGGGACTTGTTGCCCTCTGGACCCTTCATGACCGGGAAAGCGTTTTGAATTTACATGGTGGACATCCAGATTTTTTATTATTATTGGGAGTAAGCGGACGACGTTTTTTCAGATAATTCTCAGGGATTTCAAGCGCCGAAGGATTGCAAAGTTCGGGTTTTTATTTGTGCTTTACGGTTTGATTTGCAAACGTAAGACGTGGAATCTAACGAGTGAAAAGAATACGAGAGGTTCGAATCAAGGCTGTTGAAACGTCGCTTGTGAAAATGTGCCCATGCCAAAATTCATCCGCGTATCCATGTCGGATTTTGTAGAATAAACTTGAGCTCAGTGGATGTCGTGAACGGAGATAATGTGGATTATGATCTTCAGTTTGACATTTTTCCCGGTATGCGAAGGATCAATGGAATCGTACCGTCATCTCGTCACGAAAGAGTTGGTGTACAGAGTGCAACTTTTTGATCGATTTTTTTTTTCTCCGTAGTCAAAACGTTAAAACCTGTGAGGAGATGGCTGGATAAAGAATTTTTTCATTATGTGGAGATTGTAATTAAGTTTTCGGAAGAAGGAAAACGAAGCAGCTCGGTATTTATTTTGCGCTCGCGAGGCCGTTTTTTGTTTGTCTTTGTCGTGAAAGAAATTCGCTTTTCTTTTATTGCTCGTAAAACGATAGGGGAAGGAACAGAAGAGATTTTGGGGAGAGGTTTTGGGATGAGTGATTTGGACTTTGTGACAGAAATGCGGTGGCTTTGAACTCGAAAGCTCGGTTGAAACCATATGCACGCGTACGGATTGCTTGGCGTTTTTGTGATGCGATGTCTTCTTTTCTGTTTTGTGGTTGAAACAAAAGTGTTATTCCTCCTTTTTCTCTTCTTCTCCTTCTTTATTTCCGGCGCAGATGAGGTTGACGAACGCTTTGTAGTCGATGAACGCCTTACCGTCCTTCTCGTACACTGGTGCGTCACGAAGTGCCACGTCCAACTTGAAAATTTCCATTCATCAATTTTTTGTATTGCATTGAAGTTTTGTTTGGGTTTAAAAAAATATCTCTTGATCAAATCGAATTCTCAACAGAATTTTAGTGAGAAAGTAATTAAGGACCAAATGCTAGTCTCCGTGTATCAACCGGCAGAATAGTTTTTTACGCCGCTGTCATGGATCTTTTTGTGAATAAAATTCAACTTTTAGAAAATAAATACTCTCGTGATTTGATTATTTTCTCAGAGGAACAGTTCGAAACTGAGTTACTCACGTCTTCGTTCGTGAATTTCTCTCCTCGGGATTTCAGATCTTCTCTTATGCTATGGAATCGAGATTTAATTATGAATATTTTCAGAGTTGATCCTCGAAAACAGAAATCGTACCCGTCTTCGTCGATCATGCCGCTGTCGTCCGTGTCCCAGAGTTTGAATGCTGTCAGCATTTCGACGGGGTCTGCTACGGAGCTGAACTTCTCTCCGAAAAGTGTCAAGAACATGGCAAAACTGAGCGGTCCACTTGCCTGTGTGAATAAGGAACGAAAAGTGTCAGGAACCTCATTGTTGTTACCTTCTCTAAAACTACGCGTATCACATTCCTAGCCGAACCTCGATAACTCGATTCTCCCTATGCCGAATTTTCTTGAAGTCCCTGTCTGAATTCTCTTTCAACAATGCGTTAGAAATCTCCCAAACTCGAATACAGTATTTTCCCCCCTCAAACCTCCAAAAGTCAAGTTTTTCGGAGGTCTTCGGGCCATTATTTTAAGGATACAGAAAAGAGAAAAGCAAGAATAAATGTTACTCCATGCGTTTTGAAAGGAAGTGAGAGTCTACTTTGTCGAATGAACCCCTTCCCTCAACTTCAGCATCCTGTCAACTCATTCATGGAACATTTTAAGGCCCATAATTTCATCAACAGCATCTTTCTTTCCCCCAACGAAAATGCTTGTTTCCTGAACTCGAAATCTCCTTCACTCAAATAGTTTTCTGGTCCCTTGAAATTTGACTTGAAGAGGTTTGGCTGTAATCGGCGGCGTGTCCAGAAATCGGACTTGACTCTGTAACACTCTTTTTTGTGCAATCATGCAATACAGTATTGAGTACTTTGAGAACCTCGCAAATTTTCTCTACTCTTCAGGTTGCATCATGGATTGAAAAAAAGTGGAAACTGGAGTGAAAGAAATCAGAGCGTTGAAAGAAACAGTATTTTTTGCGTGGGCACATTGAGCCTTCCCATTTGCGTCAAGCTCTTATCACATTTTCTCTAAAACTCTGGTCTTGAAAACTGACCAGTGATGAAGTCAGGAACCTCTCAAGCGATGCCAAAACGTACAAAATAAATCAATGGTTAAATTTTTGCAATTGTTCCAAGTTAACCTTATTTGAAGGGCGCCCAGAAGAGAGAAATTCAGCTTAAATTATGTAGTTCAGATGGGCAGACTCCTCTAAAAGTGATATTACTATAACCAAATGGGTTGATCATCAGTCTGAAATCTTAGCAAGTCCTTGCCCTTTCTTCCATTTACAATTCTATTGCAATTACTCAAACCTTTTGAAGCCAAAAAACCTTTGAATGTTGAATTTTTGTTCAGTCTTTGAAATTTTTAAAGAACAAAGTATTACTGTATATTACATACCTGCCTATAAAGACTCCCTCTCAAACCTCTGTAACTCAAATTTTAACTGTTACTCTGGAAGTCTGGAGGCCTTTGGGCTATTTATTCCGGGGAAAGAGAAAATCAGTAAAAATGTAACTTGATGCTTCTTGGAAGGAAGTGAGTGACAAAGTGCGCAAAGGAACACTTACAAATTCAGCATCCTGTCAATGCATTTACAAAGTTTATGAAGGCCTAGAAGATTGCCATTTTAGCACCCTGTCATTCTTTATTTTATTTGTGCTTCCCCACCTCAAAAAATCCATGGGTTAAATTATTTGGTGGGTCCTGCATGGAAGTTAGACCTGAGGAGATATTGAACCCCGAGGAGGCAAAAGCAAAGCTTGGCAAATGATGGGCGTTGCTTCGAAAATTGGCATGCCATCACAATTTCAAGTGAATAGCAAAGTTTTGAAGCCGGAAGATCTAAAAAAAAAAAAAATCGGATCGTTACTTCTGCAAGCATGCCATCGATTTCGGCATCGTTGGACATCTGCCCCAGGCTGTCGAACGTTTGCTTCAAGTCGGATTTTGAAATTATCCCGTCCTTATCTGCGTCGATCAACTGGAAGGCCTGCGAATAAAAAGCATCGTCTGTTTTAGTTCATGTGGATTTAAACGTGATATTGTGCTCGAGAAGTGTCCCAAGTCGCGAGAAAAAAAAAGAACATTTCAAGATAGAAGGACGGAGAAATTTGTTCACGGAAGTCAACTTTTGAATTGCCATGAATATGCTGATTTTATTCATGGTTATTCAAATAATGAGGTGACTTGACTGACTACGAATCCTCTGATATTCTTTCGTTCACGTCCCATCTTGGGTCATGATTTATTTCATGTTTATTGCATTGCATGTGAAAGGCGGTGTATGTTTTGGTCCTAAGTGGAAGAAAAAAGATTTTTGATCTCAACTTTAGCATTTATCGTGCATAGTTCGAAAGCAACGGAAGTGATATTATATGAACCTCGATCAAACTTACATTCGATTACTGTTTTCATTTTCAAATTTATTCGTCCAAGATCGGCTTGAAATATCGTGAGAAAATTCGTGTACATTCATGATCAAGAAAGTTATCCAAGTTCAATGTACCACGAAAACATGGAATGAATTCGTCCGGATATTCGAATATTAACATGATCGTGTACATTCACATGAGAATAAACCACTAAAACCAGCATAAAAAACCACGAAATTGAAAAAAAATAAAAATCGGAGCAAGCGACAGCACTTTACGTACTCGACTAATACCGAAAGGGAAGTTTATGAAGGCTTCTGAAAAATCGAAAATGGATGAAGCGATTTCATTCAGGGTCGTCGATGGACTGAGTGTTATTATCCTCTTCGAAAATATGTAATATTCGAATATCCGGACGAATTCATTCTATGTTTTTTGTGGTACATTGAACTTGGATAACTTTGTTCATTCGGCTGCGTTCAAGAGTCATTGCCATTACTCGCTATCGGCATAGTAAAGTTTTATCGAACCCCGTGCAACGAGACGCGATGACAAGAATTTAGATTCGTTCACCGTCTAGCTTTTACAGATTTAATCTTTTTTTTTTTGTGGCGAAAGCTTGATGATAAACTTTATTACCTGTTTGAATTCTTCCATCTCATCTTGAGATAGTTGTGAAAATTTGTTCGACGTTGTCCGTTGTGCTCGTTTGCCCTTGTCTTCCTCCTTCGATGCCTTCTTGGCCTTAACTGCTTTCGACGCCTGAAAGAAAATCGGAATAAAATGTGATATTATTATTGTTTTTTTTAAGAAGCTAAATTGTAGAGAAGGGTCGAAAAGTGATGTTGGGAGGTTTATTTCATATTGCAAATGAAATAAAAAGAATACTGTATCTCTGCTGTCATCCAAATTGGGTTCCTATAAACATTACAGTTTGCATTGTCAGCAGCAAGCATCAGCAAGCATCAGCACCCTCAGTGAATCGATGGGTTCGATCATTCCAAGTTTCAATCAAAATGGTGAAATTTTTTTCGCAACTTTACAGCAATACTCTTGACTCTTGAGTAACAGATCATGTTTTCTTTCGACAATACTGAGTGTTCCTCGAAAAAAGGGGCCTGCTGGTCATTGAATGGACATAACGCTATAACTTTAGACTGAATATAAGCTCTTCATCAGAAATACCTCGAATCACGTCAAAAAGAAATTCTTAGCCAAGAAAATTTAGTTTCCATCAATTGAAACAAAATTATGGGTGGAATAAATTCATCTCTTTTAAAATTCACGTCAGTGAATGAATACCCCTGCGATTATTGGTCAGCTCAAAATTCTTCGAAATAATAATTCCCACCTCCAAAATGTTGAACGCGTATGTATAGATCATAATTGAATTTCTCGCTTGTTGAATCTGGAAAATACCTACCTGATATACCGTGTCAAGTTATTGTCAAGTTTTTGAAGAAAAAGCGCAGAAAGTGTAGCCCCAACACATGAATGCCCCAACATGCAGACAAGACTTCATCCACCACATATACACTTGAAACTTTAAAAAATCTGCTTGGAAGTCTGGAAACTATCTCAAAATGTGTACACTGCCAAAATTTCCAGAAAAATTAAGAAAAATGTTCTGTCTTGAAAATATTAAGATACTGCAATGGAAAAACATGAATAATGAAGCTTATTTTAAACTTACTCCGGTTTCATCTTTTCAAAACGGTCAATTTTTGTGTAATCATTCCAGGGGATTTTTCATCAACTCTGTACAAGAAGAAAATGTCTTCTAAGCTATACTCATGTGTTCATTTTTGCCGTTGAGGGCCTTTTTCAAGCGAAAAGGAAAATTACGCGTGTTTTTCTCCATTACACTGCATATATTGTGAAGGTGAGAAAAACATTTTTTGCTAAACTTTTTCAGGTATTTGACCAAGCATGAAAAGTGACCAAAGTTGTTAGCAATCTGGTCTAACGAAACAATATGGACAAATCCGTCTGGAAAACTACTGTATTATACACGTGTATCTTTGGTCCTCTGTGTAATATATTCAAAAAATACCAGCTTCTCATAAGATAAGAGCGAGGTGTTATGAAAAAAAGTTGGTCTGATGGATGGAATATGATTAGCAACGTATATATCAGGGTTGTTGAATATTTGTTTGCAAAATGAAAAAGATTTTCAACATTCGATGTGAGAGCATAGATCGAGGATCATGTATATGATTCTTCTACATTTTTTTTATACCGATCAACTTTTTTTCCTTGATTTTCACTGCTCTGCATTGTGTACCGTTAGCTTTTGAATGCCATATATTCGTCAACTGTCTTTTTTTCCACGTATTTACAGTATGCTAAATTTTTATTGTTCCATAGGAACATGCCTGATTTGCATAAACTGCCAAAATCTTTGCATCAACAGCCCAATCATAACCAGACACCAGATTGTGGTATGAATAATATTATCTCAATTTGAACCTCAGGGCACTCTGTGTGCTCTTCACACACAGATTTTGGTATCACGCACTTTTTCTGTACAACATGAAAAGAAAACAAGAGAGCTGAATAAAATGTATAACATCGAAAAGTGTGTTCTGCGAAGATATGTGCATGGTGTAAAAATCCCTTCTGAATTCTTGTACGTCATAAAATTCCAAGGTATATATTTCTAGAATAAGTATCCAACTGATGCTGGCCAAAGAGATTGATGTCTGAAGTAACACTCCGTTCGAAAACGTTGAGGATCTTCCGAAATTTATTTATGTATAGTACAAGGGCTAATTTTCTTTACATTAGCGCAAAATTTCAGCTGACCAGCACTGATAAAAAGTACATGAATTGAAGATCACTGACACTCAAGCTATTATTGCAGGAAACATTAGGAAACATATGTATGAGAAGACAGAATGCAAAATAAAAACCTGTAAAGTGGTACAAATTTTAAAAATATAATTTCTTGGCTTTGTTTGAAATTTTCAAGCCAACGTAAGGTTGTATATACAATATATAGGGGTTAAGGGTACACGAGTTCATATCATATAAAGCCTGTGGGCCATGTGAAATCTCTGTTTGATTACTACCTGCTCCAACTTTCAATCCCCGGTAAATAAATCATCCTCTCAGATTATAGGATACAAATTCAAATAATTGATAATCAATGGTAAAAAAAAGAGGATCGCAAGCTAGTGATTTGAAGCTGATGAAATTAAAAAACCCCCAATTCGAAACCATTAATCGACATTATTTTGGATAATCTCACATTTTTCGATACATAGAGTTTCCGGACTCCGGAGTATTCACAGTATCTTAGATTGCGAGTTGCACTGTACTCATACATACACTCTTCATTGAACTGCTGAGAAAATAATTATAATCACGTTATACCAATCTCAATAAAAATAGGGAAACGCTATTCTCAAAGCAAGAATATTGCAGCGATAAAAATTTCATGCGCGCAGGGTAGCGAAAAAGGCATTTTGATTCAAAATTCAAAATTACTAAGAGTTCAAGCGGCTAAAAGGTATCGTTCGTTTCACAGTACAGTATAACAAATACCTTTCATTATACAGTATAACAAATACCTTTCATTATAAAGTACACTATATACATATCTTTCGTTTAACTGCGCATGCGGATTTATTTATCGGTTTCTATGAATGTTCCTTCGTTTTTCCAACTTTCCTGAGGCTGTATCATAAGGTTTGAAGCTTCATACGCTATTTTTGATATTCTTGCTTCGAAAATAGCATAACTCGTTGGCATCATCGTTTTGGAGTGGAAATGTGCTCTATATTTGTGCATTCTATGGCATTATTGTTCACATTTCATTAAAAAAATGAGCATTATCCTAATGTTGGGATATCTACAAATTTCGGCTTCGTTATTTTTGTCTCATGGTCACCATTTTTACCGAGAAACATCTCGTAGTGTACAGGGTTAACCACGGAATCTAGTGGCACTTCATCATACAGCCCCAGCAATTGTGAATTGTATACTGTACAGTACAAGGTTGCACATGATATGGCAATTAAAAAGTACGCACGAAGAACAGATAACACAACTGCAGCTGCTGCATCTGAATTTAGCCTCTTTAATAAATTGAAAAATCGACATTCTGGACCCTATTGTTGCGAACATTAAATATGCAGATCCTTCTATCTCTCAGGGATTTACCTTCTTACGTCAGGGAAAATTTTGTACCCCCAATAAAGACAAACACTAAAAGCGTCAAATTTTGTGAAAAGTTACGATGAAATTACGTCTATGTTAATAAAAACTTTTATGAAAATATTACGATAAGACACATTGAAACAATAAAATAAATTTGAGGCTTACCTAATGGATGACTAAATAGAATTAAATTTAAAATGCGTAGAACACTTTTTGAACTGGTGGATTATTTTAAATGGCCGTACTGACCAATAAACCGAAATATGAATGAAATTCTGCGCAAATTTTGTGCAAATAATCTACTTGGAATGGAACTCTTGTCAAAACTCAGAATTAGGTGCTCTGAACAAGCAGCCTAAAGATGAGAAAATTAAAAATGAAACCATAGCTTCCTCATTTTCGTGTGTTTCTGTCCATGAAAAAGTACCACAGTTCTTGATGAATTGCAAAATCAAGACAAAAGCCAAGTTGAACGTCAATTTTCACAAATTACAAGTCCAGACATTTTTGTGTGAATACTGTATATTCTACTGTACATGTACTAACATCAAGAAAAATGACTGATGAATGTGCTCTAGCAAATTATTAAATTTTCAATTCCCTTGAATTTGATTTTTAAAAATCTGCTGACAAACTCCCACATAAACCTGCCAAAAGTCTTTCCATTTTAGGAAAAATTTGCCTGAATCCCAAGCAAAAAAGCTCAGTTAACAACAATAGAATTAAATGGAAGAATGCAGTCCCTTTTAAAACATGGGGGTTATTTCTGTTTGTGATTTTCGCAGTTTAAAACACTTTTCAATGCTACTTTAATGCAGATACAATTATTTTTGAAAATACTTTTATAATGAATAAGACACATTGAAACAATAAAATAAATTTGAGGCTTACCTAATGGATGACTAAATGGAATTAAATTTAAAATGCGTAGAACATTTTTTGAACTGGTGGATTATTTTAAATAACCGTACTGACCAATAAACCGAAATATGAATGAAATTCTGCGCAAATGCTGTGCAAATAATCTACTTGGAATGGAACTCTTGTCAAAACTCACAATTAGGTGCTCTGAACAAGCAGCCTAAAGATGAGAAAATTAAAAATGAAACCATAGCTTGCTCATTTTCTTGTATTTCTGTCCATGAAAAAGTACCAGAGTACTTGATGAATTGTAAAATCAAGACAAAAAGCCAAGTTGAGCGTCAATTTTCACAAACTACAAGTCCAGAAATTTGGTGTGTGAATACTGTATATTCTACTGTACATGTACTAACATCAAGAAAAATGACTGATGAATGTGCTCTAGCAAATTATTAAATTTTAAATTCCCTTGAATTTGATTTTTAAAAATCTGCTGACAAACTCCCACATAAACCTGCCAAAAGTCTTTCCATTTTAGGAAAAATTTGCCTGAATCCCAAGCAAAAAAGCTCAGTTAACAACAATAGAATAGGCAGTGTTTTCAAACCTGTGGTCCGTGGACTTGTGTCAGTCTGCAGAAGATTTTTCTAGTCTGCAGAAAATTTTCTGCTGCTCAATGTATTAACTAAAGTAGTGATCGAGTCTGTTATTATTTTTTCTGAAATTTTCTATACACAATGACAGTGGAAATTATCTGATGTGAAAATAGAAGTTGGGTTCCCTCCTAACAACACTCAAGACAAATTTTCACCTGCTGAAATTAATTCCAGTATTACACTATTTCAATTTTTTTCATTCTAAGAAACCTTTTTTCAAGCCCACCTTTCTAATTTTTTAAAGACATTCGACTATTTTGCTTTTTTTCATTGGTTCATAATTTTTGAAAAAAGCATAAACCTTTTAAATGCCTGCCATGAAGTCTTCAAAGTTTCAAATAAAACTTTTGAGTCTGCAAAAAATTTATGAAACTTAGCTGGTCCCCCGAAAGTTGGTGGGAAATTATCCAGTTCGCAAAAACTTCTATGGAAATTTGCTGGTCTGTGTGCTCAAAAAGGTTGGAAACACTGGAAAAGAGAATTTATTTATTATTTTTATGATCATTAAATTTTTGGAGAAGGCTGATGAAAGAAATAAAATGCGTCCGTATCAGAGATGAGGTTGAGGATAAAGCAAACATTTAGGAGAATTTACTTGAGCAAAGGACTTGAAAAACCTTTGTCTGAACTTGAAGGGAATGTTGTGTGGCAATTTCGAAATATTTTACTGTGCGCAGACAAATGTCATGTGCCCATATGTACATTTTAATTCACAGATGCGGTAATAGGCCAAGAGTCAGTGCGCAAAATAATGTCCAGAAGAAAAGGGCAGAATAGATCCAGAAAACGGTTGAAAAGGCATAAAATTAAGAATGTTTATGAACCGATTTTGACAATGAGAGACGAAATTCAGTGCTTCATGATGAATTACTGAGGATGCTGAACTTGCAGAATTAAACTGCCTTGCTTTTTCATTTTTGGTTTTTGTTCCTCCAAAATTGTGAAGATGTTTCGCTCACGGGCTTCACTCTCAATAAAAAAGACACATCACGACGACAACAAAAAGGCATCACTGACCATTTTTCCTGGTTGAAATCTTCAGAATCAAATCCCTGATTTTATCCTTCAAATAATGAAATCACAGGATCGGGTGTCTCTGGATGATCAACGAGCGTCGTTCGACCAAGTCGGACACTGCTATAGGGCACCGATGAGTAAGACAAAGAGGGAGAGAAAAAAAAGATCGACACGTCACGACGAGCTCGACACACTCGGACCAGATCCCTCACTGTGACAACTGAGATCCCCGCAGTGACAACTGAGACCCCTGGGGTCGAGACGAGGCGTGGTGAGCAAGTTGCCGCTGCCTTGCGAGATGCCACGCCCATGCAAAACTCGGTTGACCCATGCCCACACCTCACATTGTTGCCTTGTTTATTTCCTTGATTCATTCCCGTTGTAAACACTGATGACCTTGTGGTAGCTTATTTCTTCCTTGCTTCCGATTCCTTTCAGTAATTGTATGGGCCCCAACATAGACACAATTCATGAGAGGTGCGGATTAACTGCTTTGGAGAAATTTTGCTCAATACAGCTAGTGAGGCCCCCACATGCGGACACCTTGACCTGCGGACAATTTGACATAGGGACACTTATTTTCTTATGCAAAATTAATAAAATAGGCCCAAAATGAGGACACTGACTCAACATAGGGACATTTTGTGATGAAACTGCAAATAAATTTCATGCCAAATTACGAGAGACAGATATTTCCAACCCTAAAATTGACGTAAGAAAAGTTCTTGGGCATTTTTCTCACCAATTAACCATCCATTTAGCTATTTAAAAAAATTTACCTCCAGCAGAGAGGGGCATCCTTCTCTCTTTTTCACTTGAATGTTATTTTTGCAGAGAATGCCAACATTTCTATCTACTCTTCAGAGGTATCGGAATTCAATTCCCCAAATGTCCATATTGTGTTGAAATATATTGATTAGAATCAGTTTAAATTGGGAGACAATTTTCATGGAATTATAGTGAGTATTTTGTACATAAAACACCAATTAAAAATTATACAATGTAAGTCTAAGAGAAAATGAGACTCAACTTAGGGACGTTTTGATTTAGGGACCAATTATGTCTGCATCTGGGGATCTTCACTGTATAATGTTCTCCACACCTTCTGCTGTTGCGTCATGATGTGTGCGCAATAATAAATGATGGTTCAAGTGACCTCTAGGAGATTAAATCCAAAACTTGTACGTCTTCATCTGCCAGCAGATGACGCAGCCCAAAAGTTGTAAAATCGAGTACTGTAAACGGTCAATAGGAAAAAAGAGAAAACTTTAGATTGGCTGTATTGTTCATTTGTTCGCTGGCAGTGGAAAACCTTATCAATTTGTTGAATTCGAAATATTGATAATACCTTTTCTTTGAACTGGACTCATCATCATTGAAGTCCTCGTGCATCGTCGATTTTCATAGAATGTGTGTGTGAGAAAACTGTATCATGTTACCTATACTTGACTCATAAATTTGTAAATCTTGTTTTCAAAAACAATTTTATGTTTATTCAAAAATGAAAGAAGTCAGCCTAGTTTCACTGGAGTTGAAACTTGGAAGTCCTGTCGTGTGAGTGATGTGTCTCAGTTTATTTTTAATATTTTTTGAACCTTTATCTAAGCACAACATTTTTAATTTTGGGACTCTTCGGTATCAATGACATGAATAGCTACTCTGTTATCAACATTTTACAAATTTTGACACCCTTGGTGTGAATTATTTTAGCGAAGATCCTAGAGTTATTAAAAAAGTACATGAACCAGCAATGATGATTGATGACTCATGTTTCCCCCTCTGCGTTAAAGTTATTTAACACTAAGGCCAATAAGTAAATATTTTTTTACATTTATAGAAAGATTGTATTTCATTATAACTCTTCTGTAAGATAAACAAGTTTCATTATAATAAAGCGTTTCGAAGATCGCGACAGAGAGACCATGGAGACTCTATCTTACAACAATCTTGTTATAACGCATATCCAAAATCCATTTCAACAAATCTGTTTTCGTGTAGAACATAACCCTCTTCTTGGATCTGTTCATCCATTTCACAGCAAAGGGCACTAAGCAAAAAGACCATTCTGCAGAGAATTTGATTGAAATTTCTGATTCTAAAGCAAGAATTACCTGTTTTTTTTAAGAGGCTGCTGTGCCAATCAAATTTTCCCCTTTCAGCAGGCTGTTCCACAAAAAGTGCATACTGAATGGATGTCAATCTGAAGGGCTCCTTCATGCCCACTATTAAAAACACGATGTAAAGTCAAAGCAACTTGATACAAGACTTCAGATGGATATCGTTAACGAAGGCGAGTACCAGTGTGTAGCAGCAGATTTACCAAAATTGACGCATGTACAAGTTTTTTGAGCATAGAAAAAACAGTTTGTTGCTATGCAAGTTTTTTCATAATCCGTATTTGAAGATAAATGATAAATAAAGCTTTCCAGCAAGCATTTTCTTCAAAAACGTATAAGGAGTTTACACAATTTGCTTCTCTGAAATGCAAAAGTGAAATGCAAAAAGCACAAAATTTTCATCAGATAGCATTCAGAATATTATTTGTTCCATGATTGTCTGAAGTAAATCACTTCACGTCAATAAAAAGTTCAAACACAAAATAAGCGACATCTTTGAGTCATTGCAGCAACCATGGCAGTGTGTTTCAATGTTCGATACACTAGCAAAAAATAAAATTAAATACTGTACTGAGTTCTGCTTTGTCAAATAAGGAGCTGCTCTGATTCCATTTTAGACATTTCAAGCCAAATGTCCTCTAGAGTCTAGACACTTTGATTAAACTTATTGGGTACCATAGAATAGACCTGAGAAAAACAGCATTGATTTTGGTTATGGCTGATTGTTGTTTTCTACACAAATGCCAAGTCAGGTCAATTGATTTACAGTTAGCTAAGCATAACGCGTATGCATTTCTCAAAAAGCTCCCTTTTGACGCTGAAAGGCTTAATTTCTCAACTGCATTTGGTGACATATGCTTCTTATCGATTTTTAAAAATGAAGTACTGTACAGTAAAGTACATGTTTGTCGTGCTATAAATCGAAATGGAATAAAAGGCAGAAATATTGCTAAGAAATTCTGAACTTTTTTGCAGTACTGTATTGTCTTCTTATTAAGAACACGAAGATTCTCGACCCAAATTATCCAACAATAAGAAGTGGGCACATCGTCCACGACGTAAGTCTCCTTTTTTCATTAAAAGTGAAAAAAAAACTGTCGAGTAAAGGTGAACAGCGATCGTAAATCTAAATTATGCACTTGCAATTTTTTTCTTTCGGGCGGAGTGGATATTGAGTAAGCCTGGGGAGACATCGTTCAAGAAAGTCCATGTTAGAACAAACATAGATAATTTTTTTAATTTTTGGATCTTTTATTTTTGTTTGCAATTTGTGCTTTCCTGCTCTGAAGTGATTAAAATGTCATTGAGTGGATTTGGATTGGGTGCTGGGAAGGGGGGTTTGGTTGGGGAAATCTTGAGTGAACCTTGTGAATGCTGAAAAGTGGCAAATAAAGTGTTCTGTTCATTCATTCATTCACATGGATAAGGGATTGAATATCTTGAAACTTTCGGAAGTCCTCCGCCATGCAAATATTTAGCGTTGGCAATCCTAAACTTCTGAAATGATTCTTTCATCAACCAAAGAGAATTCAAACTAACAATATTTGATTCAAAGATACATATTTGCCTTCCGAAATCGTCTTTGAATAAAAATTTACCTATACTGTATATTTGAGCTATTATAACTTTGAACGTCTGTCCTCTCATTCTTCAGTGATCTCTTTTGTTGTGGGTAGATGTCACTCGAAATCATGCATGCATCTTAGCTGAAGCTAATGAAGCTCCATCTCCGTCTTGGTTCTTGGCAATTATATTATCAATTTTCTCCGACCCGGTGTCGATTGATCCCCGTTATTCCGAACCAGGTCCGCATTCTCCATGTGATCATTTGGCATATTTGCCATTTACCTGTCCGCTGCGAATGGAATTCAGTGTAAACTTAGAGCGTCGAAGCAAAAAGATAAATGAAATAAATTGGTAAATCCGTCAAGAAAAAAAGGAACCGGGAAAGCAGAGCGTGTAATTGCAGGCCTGGCACAACGTGGTCTACGTGATATAATCCGACGCGAGTCTCCCTACACAAGGAAGAACTCCGACAAAAAAACAAAAGAACCGAAATAAAATCGAAATCCTCAATCTCCCCCACAATAAAACAAAACAAAACAATCAGCACCCAAAACCCGAAGAAAAAATCCACAACGAAACCCATTAAATAATTCCCTCCCTCCCCCTCGAACAAAAAAAACAGGACGAACGTCCTTTCCTCAAAATCAGGGCCAAGAAGGAAACACGGCAGGGGATTTTTTTGCAAAGCAAAACAAAGAAACACAATGAAATCCGTTGCGTTTGTCCCGAGTTCCCGCCACTTCCGGGTGATGATATACTCCGTACAATTTTTCTTTTCTTTTCTAGCGTTTCGCAGAGTCGGAAGATTTTTTTCTTTCCAACGCAATTATATTATCAATTTTCTCCGACCCGGTGTCGATTGATCCCCGTTATTCCGAACCAGGTTCGCATTCTTCGTTCTCGCATATTTTCTTTCTCATCCTCGGGGTCCTTCGCAAGCGGATTCGCTCGCCAATTCCGAACCGCTCTGCGCAAAGACTCGTCGAAAGGAACAGAAATAAATTTTTTGCGCAGCCGTTCTTTACAAAAGAATTCCTCGTCGTTCCCGATCCGGCAATCACAGGACACCAGGGTCGGCTCGCCAATATTTCCCGCAGCCGAAACACGCCGATAATCTCTGCTAAAGAAAAAAAAAAGAAGAGGAAGAAAAACCAAGAAGTTCCGTGGAAACTCGGCCAACGCGAAGGCAGTGTAACTTCCGGATGGATCCAATGGTTTGTTTCAAAGGACAAAAAAGAAACAACTCAATCTGAAAGTTATCATTATTCATCAGAATAAAACAAAAGTATCGCTTCGTGTCATCTTGTCGAACGTGGCGTGGAAATGTCGCCTCTGCGTTCGGAGAACAATAATCATCTGCATCTGAGCAAAAGATGAGACACGGTGACAGATGGAAGCTTGACAGATGATAGAAAGTAGAGAGATATAGAGACAGACGTTTAGATTTAGCAGCAGCAGCAGCAATAGAAAGAGAGGAGGGCGGTCGTTGTCGATCAAAAAATTGCTCGTGAAATGGATCATGAATTCCGTCTGGGTGTTAAGCTTCGCAATTCTTTCCGTGGTTTTTTCCTTCGTAAAACTTTCGTCTTTTCAATCTCTTAGTCATTCTGCTGGTTTCTCTTTTTCCTCGGTTCTTTCAAACAAATTTTATTTTATTTTTTCCCCGTCGCTTTTGGATGTATTTAAGCGGCAGCTTCTTCCTCGCCTTCGCCTTCGGACGGCGACGCTGTGAGCATGCTCACGATTGCGTTCACCTCCACTTTTCCACCGTCGTCTGCAATGCACACGTGGAAAATAAATAGAAAAGAAGACCAATGATTATTTTTGAATGATTTCGAAAATTTAAATCGCTTTACTGACCGATGGGCAGCTGCTCGTAGCAATCGTCGACTTCTTTTGACGAGAACTTGTCACCCCAGGTCATCAGGGCGTGTCGCAACCTATACAAATGAATCAAAAAAAAATATCATCAGCTGTTGTTTCAAACTATTACTTTTACGCTTTTGAAGACTACAGAATGCAAACTGAATTTGGGTCGAGATTTCAGGTTAAACTTAGAATTTTCTCCAAATGTTTACAATTCGTAGGGAATTATTTCCGAAAATTAGTTTCCGAATTAACCACAACATTTGCAATTGCTTAAAAAAAATTTGCGAATAACCCAAAAGTGGACTCTGATGATTTTCCTTCAGCCTATACAGGATAAAATGCATGCCAATTATTTTTATGAAATAGTCGAAATTTCTTTTCTAGATCACAACTAAAGGCCGCAATTAGGAAACTTCGGACTCACGTTTCAAGACAAATGTTTTCTTCAACAGTGAGTGTATATGGTTCTATAGATTAGTTTTAAATTGACAAAATACGAGAAAAGTCTTTTCAATCTAGCCTTCGGCATCGGTAAGAATAAGTGTTTACGTTGCTCATGTGGAAAATCTTTTCAGGATGTGAAAGAGTTCAAAACCTTTATTCCAGCATCGCGAAATCGTACTTTGAAAATTCGAGGAACTTTTTTTGTGGATACAATAGTTCTTGGATTGAGAAGTTGAAAAAAATCTTACTTCTCTGAATCGATGTTGCCATCACCTTCGTCAAAGGACTTGAAAGCGGCAATGACGACATCGTCGTCGTCGGAGCCTGGAATTGAAAAATTATAATTGGATTACAATACTGTTCTGTATTTCAATCCTTTTTAGCATTGTTTCTTAGAGGTTTGTGACATGTTTTACTCTGATGCAAGCACCAGAAATTTGGCCCGGAAAATTGCAACAGTATTTTGTTCGATTGCTTTTGAAAGAACGGCAGGTATGTAATATTCAAGTGCGATATTTATTGTGGTTCTTATTTTAGTCTTCTAAATTCTCACAGGTTGTGTATATAAGTAATAAAGCCCTGAGGGGTATGTTTCCAACTACAAATTAGTCGCACAAAAGCCCAAGTTACTTCATTGTGACGTAAGGTAAAATTAATGCATGAAAAAAAATAAAATATCAGCAACATTTCTCCGAAAACTTTCATAATTAATTGCAATAACCTTTAAATCTCTGTCCTTCATTGTTCCGATGCTATTTTCTGCAAGGAAAGAATAAAAATTTATTCCAACTTTCGACTTGATATTTTCTTATGTATATCTGATCTTGTTGTGACGAAAATGCTTCCGCTTGCAAAAAACAAAAAAATGTATAGCATCCGTAATATCGTACAAATTTCGTATCTTTGCATGACTTTCAATTACACTACTGGTATTTGTCCGCATTAACTTATATTTTCCTTTGTACAATATTGAAACACATATAGTTGACTGCCTGATTATTCAATTAACCCGCTGACTCGATCACTTACGCCACTTCCTCAACTCCATGTAAGTAATTGATAATCCTACAAGTTTCCGCCATCATGCAGTTTATATATCGATCTTGGTTTTTAAGTAGTTTTTTTTTTCTTCACGCGGAGGGTTTCCCGCGAAAAGCAGCAGGAAAAAAAGGGATTTTTGATTCATCATGGGGGTTTTCTCGATTTATGAATTGAAGCAATTTTAGGAAAGTAAGGGAACTCGGAAATACTGTACTGTACCTCCGCTCATGCGCTCGCCGAACATGGTGAGAAGAGTGGTGAAGTTGATTGGTCCAGGTGCATCTGACAGCATTTCGTCCAGCTCCTTTTCAGAGCACATTCTGCCGACAATGTCGTGAGCGGATCGCAAGTCGCTCTTGCCGAGGATCCCGTCTTTGTCTGCATCCATGAGTTGGAAACCCTGTTCAAGAAAGGCGCGGGAAAGAAGGGGAAAATAAAATTATCAATTGGAGAAAGAGGACACGAATGCGAGTTTTTATTTTTTATTTTTTTTTTCAGGAAAATTAAAAATAAGAAACTTTTATTTTAAGCAGCTTGAAGAAAAAGAAAAAAACGACCTTCTTCCCGGTATCTTAGAGGAAACATCAGTCGACTTTGAAACCGTCGTATTCACTTGAGTACCATCGTGTGCACCTTATTTTCTCAAATTTGATAGGAAAAGGGGGTGTGCATGATGGCAGGTAAAAAAAAAAGCTCAAAAATTTTTAGAAATTTATATGTGCTGTGCATAATACTTTATTCAAATGGGAAATTGTATACCAAGTAAAAAAGAAAAGAAAAAACTTACAGTATTTGAATGGAAGCAATCGAAAATTTGTTGAATTCAGGTTTAATTTACAGTATATTAATATTCAAATTTGCGTGCTGTTATTTTTTCAATGAATATTTTGGGTTTAGAGTCGTTCAAATGTAGTTCTCGTCTTATACTTGAACATAAAATTTCTCAAAATGATCAACTGAAAAAACCCAGTAAACCTCTTACTCAAATGCATATGGTACTTATTGAGAAATTTCGGTTCAGCCTGAATTTCACGCTTCAGATTTTTTAAATTTATTCGTCAAGGGATATTTGTGAGTGCATTTGACATGGGAGCTGGATTTTGGAATTCATCAGTACCCTTTAATCTCCTTCACAGCTAGAAGCCAATAAAATACTGAATATTATACGCATTTTTATTCGTAAACGTTTGATACAATACTGCAACGCCAGCAACGAAGATTGGGAAGAGAAGATACGAATGCAATCAGTTAGGGATTCGAGAATCAATCTGGGTCATATATGAAAAAATATCATCTGGAATCTTTATACATAGCGCGTAAAATTATTATTTTTCTTTCTTTTTCGAATGAAAGGAAACGTGAGCTGATGCATGTGATACTGAATAGCGATGATCGAGTCTATCGTGGAAATTCACACGCTTTTTCACGTGCAATTTTCTCTCTCGCCGTTTTTGTATGTCGCGTAAATTCTGCTTGTGTTTCTAGGCCTCTTGTGCAGCAGATATTTCGCACTGGCTTCCGGAACATTGTTCGTAAAAAACAATATTATTTTTCAGTGTACAAAGCCAAAAATATATGAAAAATGTTTGCAAGTTCATCAGAAAGATCAATTTAAATTAATAGGCCATAACAGCCTATTTTTTCGATTCTTCAATTTTTTATTTATTCTTGATTCCTTGAAATTCATAAGAAGTGGAGCCGTCAAAAACGAAGAAAAAATAAGTAAATTTTTGCGTCTCATAGAAAGTTTTCAAGCTTCAATAAGCAACGTAATCTATGAGAAATACGACTAAATTATTTCTGTTGTAAAATTGGTTTTGTCTTCCTCTTTTTTTAAAAGGAATTTTCACAGGTTTCGTCCTCCATTGTAGAAGTCCCATAACAGCAAAAAGATGGCACTAAAAATCCGGGTCGACTGTTTGGAATATAATAAAACCTAATTATTTCGTAATTCATGTGCAACTTCAGCGTTTTCTAACATACTGTACATATAAAACAAATATATTCAGCTAACGAAAGGATAAACCTCAATAAGGTAATGTTGGTTGAATTCTTTGTTTTTGGGTTGGGATTGTACTGAAGTACTGGATATGGTTTTTTTAATTGATTACGATTCCATTTTTCGCATGTGAGTCTTGTTGAGGATTTTCTAAAAAAATCTGAAATGAAGGATCATTTGATGAAGATCATTTGAATTGAAAATAGAGAAAATCAACGTTTTTATTAGTTCAGAAAGCTTTCTGCCGAGAGAATAACCACCAAAGTTCAGCCATCTGCTGGAATTATTATCCCCTTTTCAAACGTATGAACTATATGAAGTAGATATTTTTTATGTTGAAATAGCCTGGAATTGCAGTTCTAATATTACCCTGCGTTTCCCGTATGGTTAGCGAATGCCGGAAGCAGGAATCTTTCCTCCCTCATCTGCATACTCATGTCAGACGGGAACTTATCTTGTGCGGAATTTTTCTATATGAAGACAGGAACAACTAAAAACTCACGACATATTTTTAAAATTAAAACAATACTTGGCGCGTCTCGGGACGCGCCCACAGCTGCAAACTATCCCTTTGACAGGGCAACAAAATTCAAACCCAACAACTCGGCAGAAACTGCCGACAATAAAAAACATAAACCCATCCCTGGGCCAATAACCTCAACCCAGGGGTCAAATGACCCCTCAATCTTGCCGATTTTCAAGGAGTTCGAATAACTTAAAAAGGGGGGGAGACCAGACTCTGCCAGCTGCTGGCTCCCAGTCGCACCCGCCTGTATCCGGATACTTACTTTATTGTCGTGCTTCGCGTCAACTACTGTCGAAAAACCATGTTCCCCCTGTCACTTGAACAATTTGTCTTCATTCCCAAAGACTATGCGCAGCCTTATAAAATTTACTAAAGTTGAAAAACACCCGGTTTTCGGGAAAAAATTTACATGCCAAGTGTCTCAAATTTTTCGTCTTGAAAAACACCAACATCTGGTGTTTTTCTGTGCTTCACACCCAGCTGCTGGGATACTCTGCAGGTACCATGCTCCCCCGCCCCCTTTTTTCAGCATAAAAACCCCTGATTTTTGGGGTGACGACACAGTCCGAATTTTTACCTCGAAGCGTTACGTCGTGTCGGAGAAATCTCGTACTTTTGCCAAAAACTAACCTTTTGCGGAAATCCGAAAAACCTGTTGTGCATATTTCGCGATTCGAAAACTGTTGTGAATATCTTCTGTACTTTTTGTGTTCCTGTTTACTGAACTGTTTAACAAAGGGCTTGCGCTTGTTTGGGAGAGAATCCCTGGTCGGTTCGCGCACCGGCCAATTGCTGTGTTGAATTTATTCTCATATTCTCCATTTTCGTAAAACTCTTCAGTTTACATCTGCCACGTAATTATCTTCTAAGGTTTTCCAAATCATAATCAATAAGCTACATCAATAACATTTATCAAGGTGTACGGCTTCAAATATTTCCTCTCGTAAAACCGTACAAAAAACTGGTAGCAGAGCGTGGTTCTGCCCTAAAAAAAAAAATTCTCTCTTTTTGCTTCCACTGCGCCTCAAAAAAAGAAAACCTTCTAAATAAACTTGTGATTTTCTAGCTCCGATCAGACTTTCTCCTCTCCTCAAAAATTAATTTTGTAGCATCTTTTAAAAAAAAAAACTCTTTTTTCTCGAATTAAGTTTGTGTGCTGCTCTTCTTACGAGATCTGTTTCTTTACTTCACATTCTTTTGAAACCTTCATCAGGTATCTAAAAAATTAACCCACTTATTTTTCCCTTTATCCAGTGCCTTCTGTTCACCCTTGTGTCCTTTTCTAAAAAAAAAAACCTTTTCATAAAACTTTTTTCAAACCCTATTAGTCAGTGTGTGTTGTGCTCTTTATCTAAAACAAAAAATGATGAGGACTGCAAATCCGGCAGCCCAAAAACCGGGAATCCAAATTCTGGATACTGATGCTCTTGAAGTACATCAGTTTATGTCTGGGGTCTTCAAATCTCATACTCAGTCATTAAAACTTTTAGAAAATCTCTTTTCAAAAGTTAGGTCAATTCAAGAATCCCTCTGTCTGGCTGAGTATCTAACCCTGAAACAGGGGGGATCCATACCAACTAAGCCAGATCTCTACTGGTGCAAAAAATTTAATGTTATTTTATCCCTTAACCTTCACCCAAGACCAAAATCTGGTAACACTTCAAAAGAAGATGTTGTCAAGAAAATACGTATTTACCTACCTTCCCCAAACCTGGGAAAACCCTCGGGCCCTGTGTGGTCACTTCTTAATATATGTCATCAAAACATGGGTCACCCATCCCCTTATTCTTCCCTTAATTTTATCCAACAAACCTTTCGAGTTAAGAGGGCCCGAACATTGGCCAAGAATATTGTGAAAAATTGTGAAAAGTGTAAACAACTCTATCCTACCAAAAATCTCTGATCCATCTCCATATCATCTGTCAAAGGAGATAACCTCCATGGGTTTAAAGACATCTTTTTATCAAACTCACCTTGTCCTTGCTTATGGTCCCTCCCACCCCTTGTCCAGTTGAGACCTTTTGAATTAACAGATCCTTTACAATCTCTTACAATAAAAACCCAGAAATGGGCAAACCAAAAAAAAGGAGGTTGCCGTTCAAAAGACCCAGAGATGGGTGTAAAGGGAAGACCTCGTGTGAACCCTAGAAACGGAAGTGCTGTAACTGGTAAAATAAATCAAGAAATCAGTTCTTACAAATTCCCAAAACCAATACCTACCTTCCCCAAACCTGGGAAAACCCTCGGGCCCTGTGTGGTCACTTCTTAATATATGTCATCAAAACATGGGTCACCCATCACCTTATTCTTCCCTTAATTTTATCCAACAAACCTTTCGAGTTAAGAGGGCCCGAACATTGGCCAAGAACATTGTGAAAAATTGTGAAAAGTGTAAACAACTCTATCCTACCAAAATTCTCTGATCCATCTCCATATCATCTGTCAAAGGAGATAACTTCCATGGGTTTAAAGACATCTTTCTATCAAACTCACCTTGTCCTTGCTTATGGTCCCTCCCACCCCTTGTCCGGTTGAAACTTTTTTGAATTAACAGATCCTTTACAATCTCTTACAATAAAAACCCAGAAATGGGCAAACCAAAAAAGGAGGAGGTTGCCGTTCAAAAGACCCAGAGATGGGTGTAAGGGGAAGACCTCGTGTGAACCCTAGAAACAGAAGTGCTGTAACTGGTAAAATAAATCAAGAAATCAGTTTTTACAAATTCCCAAAACCAATTTATTAACATACCCAAGTTTCAATGCTTTCCCCCCACCATCAATACATACAAAATCATACAAAATACGATTTACAAAAAACTTGTTTACACATATAGAACAAAGGAAGGGGGGGCCCCTTAAAATCTAACCAGATTCTTAAAGTGAACAAAATCT